TGTACTTAGCACTATAAATATTGTATTTGGATATTTTCAGTCTATTTCTCTAATGGATCACATTTTGATTTCTGTGTTCTAAAACAGTAGTTATTCTTCTCAATTTTGTCTGATCTGAAAATCTGATCAGCATTTCTTCTGCCTCTTCAGAATGATTGAGAACGTTACAAAAAAAAAACCAAAAAAAAAAACCCCCGAAGGGCACAATACCCCAGAACCAGCTAAGTATCTATTTAATTGTCATCTAGCCCACAATTAACAATTTGGTAATCAGAATGCCAAGTCTAATGGAATTAATTTATTAAATGCTTTGTTAAAATCACATTATTTTATATTTATGGCATTCCCATATTCTATTAAGGCATCCATTCCCTCTCCACAATAGAGATTAGTTCAGCCATACTTGTTCTTCACCATTCTATTCTGACAAATGGTAAATATTATACTGTTTTCTGCTTTTTCAATAGCCAAAATGTTGAAAAACAAAGCTGAAACAAGTTGTTTTTTTTATTCTGATGCTTAGAGAGATCCCTATTACTGTAATAGTGGTCTGTTTAGATTACCTGATTAATATTTTCTAAGTCCTATGTCAGGCAGTTATTATGTTAGTCAAATTCAAATTTGGATAGTAAGATGGGAGGCAAATAAAAATAAAATAAAATACAATAATAAAATAAATAAAGCAGCCTAGCCCAAACCATGGCTCAGTAGCTTTAAAAAGTAGAAATTGCTTGTTAATCACTTTTTGAATATTAGGTACTTTCATAAAAGCAAGTTTTACTACACTGCATGAGTTATCTTCAATCTTTAATGAAAGAAGTTTCGTACAAGTTTAACAACTTAAAAATATGGTTTGTCACACAATCACCCAGATGTTTTGACTGGATTTGGCATTCTTATCCTTCTATCAAGTCCTTTCCAAGGACCTGGGAAAAGCAGATGTTGTGCTAAAGGTATCATTGTAGGATGTAAGCTGTTCCAAGTAAAGCTGCCTTTGGCAATTGACTGATGGTGATTTTATCAGTATCAATGGTTCACTGGGTGCTCCAGATATTTTGGGATGGCACCCAAGGTGGCTATTACGATTGGTATTATCTTTGCTTTCTCTTGTCATAGTCATCCTACTTTCATTTGCAGATCTTGTATTTTGTGATTTTCTCCAGTTCTTTCTCTTCTCTTCTGCTGTCTCCAGGTACTGCCATGTCCACTATCCAGACTTACTTTTTTGTATTTCTTATTGACAATTGTTAGGTCTGGGGTGTTATGTGGCAACTGCTTGTCTGAATTCTAAAATCCTAGAGCACTTTAGTTGCTTCGTTTTCTATTACTTTGTCTATTTGTGGCTCCAACTGTTCTTATTATTATGGTTGTTTATCACTATGGTTCATCACACACTCAGTCAGATGTTTAGATTGGACTGGGCATTTTTATCCACCTATCAAATCATTCCATGGAATAAGCAGATATTATTGTTTCATGGTGTTAAAAGTATCATCACAGGATCTAAGCTGTTCCAAGTAAAACTGCCTTTTGCGACTGATTGATGGTGATTTCAATGGCATTCAAGTGGTGCTCCAACTGGGATAGGCAGATGGGGATGTTTGAGGGTGTTACAGATATGACGCAGGATGTAAACTGTGCCGAGTAAAACTGCCTTTTGCCAACTGACTGATAGTAAATTTATCAATACCAATGATGTTCAAGTAGTGCTCTAATTGTTTTGGGATTGCACCCAAGGGGCCTATTACTATTGGTACTACCTTTGCTAATTTTGGAATAGACAGCAATAGGGTGATTAAAATATTGATTTTTGAAAGTTATAAATGGACCAAGAGCCCAAATGGACTTGAAATAAGATTTTGGAATTAATAATAAGAATCCTTCTCATGGAAAAATGCTGTTGTTTTTAATATATATATATATATATATATATATATATATATATATATATATATATATATATATATATAATCAATTACCAATAAAACGTGAACACCAGGAATATAATAAACTATAAAAGTTTAATACCATCACCGATCACCAAGCTTTCGTCAGATACTTCTGACATCGTCAGGGTTAATGCTGGTCTGTGGGAGAGTGCCTTTATAGGTGAGCTGTCATTTGCACACAGCTCCTAGATCTTGTCTTAGGTCCTAATTGATTTAACTGCTTTTTAATTATGGACTTCCATACATATAATATATATATATATATATATATATATATATATATATATATATATATATATATATATATTTTCTGAGGTTTTCGCGGGTATTTTCTGAGGTTTTCGCTGCTCAAAGCACGAAGCTGAAAACACCAGCCTGAAGATGACGAATGAGACTTCGTCAAAACGTTGCCAAGACACTTCCAATTTTACGCGGAAGAAAACCCGAACAACCAAAGACCTACATACATATATATATATATATATATATATATATATTAGGTTTTAGGTTTTGCTAACAAAGAATAAAGAGAGAATGGTATAGCTATTTCGGGTTCTTTTAACCCTCATCAGCCAAACTTACTCTTCTGAGATTCGAACCTGGGCTATCTGCATGTTAGGCAGATGTTATAACCTCTAAGCCACGGGTTCTCTCCCACTTTGTTAGCTACCAGGAGAGTATGGGATTTTGAAGATTGGGCACTAGAGGGAACCAGAAGGAATTAAAGAGAATTAAAGATTACTATTAATTGAGAAAAGCACCTAAAGTTGATTTATTAATATAGAGCAAAGCAAATATTCTTATGAACAATGGAACCAGAAGTTAATTTTAAAAATGTCTGTCATTATAGACAGATTGTGTTTGGAAGATTATATGGAAGAGAAAGAAACCTCATGAGAAGATTGAGTGTGATTTGAAAGTGGGTTTAAAAATGATGGGCTATGGGAATGCTATGGAAGGAGATCATATACAGGATATACAAATGGTTGATGTCTTACTAAACCAAAATACTGACCTGCATAACTTTCTTATACTGGATTTACAAGAGAAAGTTGTTACAGTTTCGAAGAATATTGTGAGAAAAGAAAAAATGAGAAGTCATCACATTCTAGGACATTAGAAAAGAGATGAGAGAACAGAATATTTGATAAATTTTAAGAGAAAGTGATGTCACTAATGTTACTTATATTTGTTATAAAGGATATTTTTTTTTCTTTCATATACTTTTTGTTATTTTTATTCTTTTAGTTTGTACTGGTTCTCATCTTTTTAATTATAATATTCAATACAATTACTATGAAACAGAGGAACTTAGTATAGTTCTGCAACCTGATATTGTATTACAAAAGTGTATCATTAGCAATATATCATTCAAGCTTTTCACATATTCTTCGTGCTTCTAGAGTATGCATTTTTGTTTTAACTGTATGCAAAGAATAAAGAACTTTAGACATGTTTTTAAGTATCAACATCAGAGTGAATGATAAATAATTCCCTGGATTAGCCACTTTCCCAATTTGGGAGATAGAGACAATACTTGCCAATCACCAGTCAGGTCAATTCAATGATTGTCCAATATGCATGTGATTTAAGTAGCTCTGGCGATTTAAACACATTCAAAGTATATAGTTCCTGACCATGATTCTATCAAATCTCAAGCTTTAACTCTGTTCATTATTTTGCTTTTTGCCACTTCCTACCGGAATACATACATACATATATTCTTCTTGGAGAGGACTAAAGAACTGGGAAACTTTGTCTTTTCTTTGTTACTTGTTAGAATTTTGCCACCTTGTCTCAGCAACATTTCTAGTAATTTGAATGTATCTCTTAAATATTGTTCTTAGTATCCTTTAATGATCTCATATAATTCTGAGCTTTAGCTTCCTGATATTAGATTTATAGTTCTAGACTACCTGCACATGCTTTTCTTTCATTACCTCCCCTCTCACATAGTTACGCTTTTATAGTCCCCTTTTCATCATGCTTTTTGTGTAACCAAAGTGGCTTCTTTTGATGTTTTCCATTTTTTTTCCCTTTACTGAAATAGTTTGATTGATACTTTCTGGTCTTCCTTTTTAGGAACTCTCACATATCTTAAGCTCTTTTTCTCATTATTTTCTCCTATTTGTTGATCAGCTATGAATACCACAGGCCCTATCAACTAACTAGCTCTATAAGAAACAGAAAATTAGATCTCACATCCCAATGTACAAAAGACATATCTAATAATTTTCCTCTTGGATATTTTAGTAAACAGTACAGATTGTAAGACCAAACTACAATCAATATTCATTGTCAGAGTTTTATGTAATAGAAAAGGCATCAGAAACATCCCACAGATCTGAGCTGTAAGATTCCTTTTCTTGAACACAGCATTGACTTAAAGCATCTTACTTTCCATCTATATTCCTACAGAATATTTATTTGATCCATAACAAATTCTACTGTCTCATCCCAACTAAGAACCAGTTTGGTTTAGCGGCTAAGATGCTGAACTAGGAACAGGAATCTAACTTCTACCCTAGGCATGGAGAATAGTTGGGTGACCTTGGGCCAGTCACTCTCTTAATCAAGGAAGAATGCAATGGTACATCACTCCTGAAAATTTCACCTAGTTCTTCTAGTTTCTAGAAAACTAACTGACTCAAGACAAAGTCAGAGAGAAAAATCATCCTACATCACCCACACAAATATTTCTACCAACAATTATGAAATTAGCATCAGCTATTAATGTACAGCCTGCCACTTCTACTCACCTTTTCCTTGGGGAACCTGAGACCTACTACATGTTGGATTTAAAATGTGGGTAAACCCAGCAGTGACTGCTTCTCTTCCCCTCCCATTTTTAGGCTGCATATCCCACTTAGCCCCTGGCACTGTCAGCGGTACTTATCCTAAAACATCTGGACAGCACCAAATTGTCTACCCTCTATCCACAACAATTGAGAAGAAGCCCGTCTCCCTTTCCCACTGCTATCCACCAATCACCCTCTACCACCTCCCCCCCGCCCCCGCTAAACCCACTGAGCGCGCCTCCCCGGCCTTTACCCGTGAGATGCCGAAGCGATGTACCGTGAGCCCATAGGCTCAGCACCTGCTGGACCGACAAGTTTATCATGTGGTCCCCCGCTTCCGCCTTCATGGTCGCCGCGGGGGAGACGACCAGGCCGGTTCTGTCGCTGCTGGGCCGCCGCCTCGGGAGTCGTGCCTGGTTTGGGCAGCAGCCTCGGGAAGCGGGAGGCTGAGGCCAGGCTCCCACGGGGCCTCTAGGGGCCGAAGGGGCGCGGGTGGGGTGAGCTCCCCCCGGCGGGGGAGACATCGAGGACGGCAGTTGGACAAGCAAGGTGGCGGCGGGGGGCGCTAGCTCGCTCTCCGCCTCCCACCGCTGCTGGTGCTGGGCGCCGCGGCCCACCTAAGGCTGGCAAGCGCACAGAGCCCGGTGGTCTGGGGCTGAGGAGGGAAAAGGAGGCGGAGGTAGGCGCCGGGCAGCCGCGGCAGCAATGGCCATCACCGCCTCCTTTCGAAGCCGCCTCCTCATGGCCCCCTCTCAGTAGCTCGCGCCGACCGCGAGGGAAGGGGGGAGGAGGAGGTGGAGAAGACGACCGCGAGACGCAGCCGGCGAGCAACCGCCTCCCCTTCACGACGGCCGGCCAGCCACCGGACCAACCGCTGCTCCTGGCAAGATTGCGCGCGTGGCCCCACCTCCAATCAGTTACCTCCCCCGACGCGAGGCGGGCGCGTGCATAAGCGCACGCGCGCGACCGACCCATAAAACAGACGCCGCTCAAGCAGCCCCCCTCCTCCCCCCCCGATGGCTGGTTGTAAGGGAAGGTGCGATGCTCGTTCGCGAGGCGAAGCTGGGGGGGGGGGAGCTGCTGGGGTGGTGGAAAATTTAGGATAGGACAGGGTCGTTAACCCAAGCTTTCCGCAGATTTCAGCAGGGCGAAAGAGCCCAAATGCGGTCTGCTGTCTTTCCCATTTAAGGGAAACAGCGATGTGCGTCTCTTACAATTTGCCAAAACTGCTTTAATAAAGAATAATTGTAGCTCAGGTTTGAAATTAGGGACCCTGGTGCTCTCTAAGCTTGCTTGTTTTCTTGCAGACGTTTCATTGCTACTGATGATGTTACCTAGTTTGGATAATGAAACGTCTGCCAAAAAAAAAAAAAAAAAAAAAACAAGCTCAGAGAGCACCAAGAACCCCTGAATACTGCTTTGTTTCCATGTTGTCTGATATGGCTCCTTAGTTCATGTGGGGTTCTGCTTAAACAGATCATCACCTAAACAAATAGCAAAAATTCTTTAGTTCACCATAGAGAATTTAACAAACTGAGGGAAATGGAGTCATTAATAGATATAGGCAGGCAGGCTAGCAGATGCTTGGGGAAATCATGGGTAATGCGACAACGTGCCTTCTGTAGAGGATTTCAAATTCTTAGTCTTACCTTCCCCAGGAAGATTGCAAGCATCTTAGAAGAAGGCCACAATGTTGTTTTTTAAAAATAACAGGCCTATGCAGACAAAATGGAAGGACTGTAAAATTGTGTTTGCCACGTAGCCATTGAGGCCAGCTGCAGAGATGCCAGGCAAAGTAAGAGTAAGTTTTGACTGAACTCACATTTTATTATCCAGACAAAGTAGGAGTGATGTTGAATTCACTCTGGGCTTTACTCCTCAGACTTCTAGATCAAATTTTAAATAGGAAATTGTGGCACTGTTGACATTGAAGGACCTACACTGTGTAGATTACATAGTAATTATTAGAATTATTATTAGTATTATTAGAAGTGGCATGTTTATTCACTGTTCAATTCTAACTCCAGTTTAATTCTTGTTTTATTAATAGAGATGGGGCGGGATTTATCATTTTACAAAGTTATGATTCTGCCAAATTTGAGAACCAGAATTATGCCACACTTGATATCCAATACCTTGTGTACAGGGAACCTGAGCACAGGTAAGTACATTGTATGTGTGTGGTCAGTATTGGTAATATTTTATTTGGGAAATCCATATGTAAGTATGTTGCTCTCCCCAGAGCTGTATAGATTAGCTAGTTATGAAAAGGTTTTCCCCTTTGATTTGAAGAAGTGACTGAATACTAACATACTGAACCAGATTGTATTATGGCTTAGCATGAAATCTGAACAAAATAAACCATGGTTACAAAACATGTACCAGGCTGAGTTTGTGTCAACTCTGTGCCCAGCAATGCATAGCATTAAAACCCTTTCATATCAAAGTATCCAAAATTCTTTTAACATTATAGGAAATCTAGAGCAGGTTTACTACAACATTCATTTTTACATTCATTCTGCAAAGCATAGAGGGACTGAGTAATGAGCAAGTGGAAATTGTGGGTAGGGGGATAATTGTGCAATTATAAGACTCCTGAAGTCACCTATGTGTGAGCTGGATGGTTATATAAATTTGTTTACTAAATAAACTATGTTGTGTTGATTCATAGACGTACACGCAGTCATTCATTTCCTATATGTATTACTGTAACTTGCTCTACATGAAGTTGCTCCTGAAGAACGTCCGGAAGTTTCAACTGGTACAAAATTCAGTGGTACAGACAGTGATGTATGCATCTAGATCACCACACATTACACTTCTCTTTCCCAAACTACCAGTTTGCTTCTAGGTCTGACTGATGGTGCTGGTAAATGAACTGTAAAGTTTTACATGGCATGGAGCTGGGATATGTGAGAGATCGCCAGTGGGATGGGTAGATGTGATTTCATAATCACTCCTACCCATCTTATCAGATACAGCAGAAAGGTCATGTTGGCCATCCACTAAGGTATGCTATCTGACAGGACACAGGAGGAGATCTTTTCTGCTGTGGCACCCATCTTTTGGAACCTCATTTGCCCTGAGATAAAGATTGGATCCAACCATGCTGGCCTTCTGAAAGGGCCTGAAAACATAGCTCTACCATCTGGCCTGAAGATCTGGTAACATGGAGTTGGAGCCTGTGAAATGGCTGTGTTGCTAGGGAAATTAAGTCACTCTCTTGTGGATTACAAGATGGCATTATGAAGACAGCACAGCATTCCAAAAGCAGCACAGTGGTCAGGGAGACAACTGTAGTCAACGTTCAATGAAGAGGCTGTCTTGAAACAAAGCAAAGCAGTGGGGTGCTTCTGCTTTGGCCATGGTGGCTGGGCACAAAACGTGAAAAGTTGGTATGGGCAACCAACTTGGGAGAGAAGGTAGCTAAGCAAATGAATGTTTTCTGGGGCTTCGTGGGTGCTGTGGCTTGGTGCCATCTTCGTGGAGCCACGTGTAGGAAACTGGAGAAGTTGAAGTACCTGGGGTAACATAGTGACAATGGGCTTGAAAAGGAAAGAGCAAAAAGGCATCAAAGCACTTCTGGTTGTGGCAATTGGGTGTAAAACATGAAAGGTTGATATGTTGATGCTTACAGAGGTGGTTGAAGCTTTCCAGGGTGTGGCAAGCGGCCCCAGAACCATATGGTTCCAGGGCTGCTTGTTGCCTCACAAGGCAGGATGTGGAGTAGCCAAAGGGCAAAGATTGGGAGGCAATAGGCCAGTGGTAGCGAACCTATGGCACGGGTGCCAAAGGCGGAACTCAGAGCCCTCTCTGTGGGCACACGCACTATCTCCTCATCCCCGCCTCCTCCCACAGTCCCCTCCTCACCAGCAGCCCCCCGGAGGAGAGTCAGCCCTGGGCGCGGCCCACGTGAAGCAGCGCAGCCAAGGACATGGTAGCCAGGCAGTGGGGACAAGACTCTGCCCTTGTGCCCTGTCATGCGCAGATGATGCTGTGGGGCATGGGTGGAGGATGTGGCCGCCATGGCGCTGCTGCGCTGTCTGGGTGATCTGTGGCAGGCTGTGGAGGTAGGTGGCCCAGTGGGCAGGGCAGAGCAGGGACTGGGTGGGGGGCGGGTTTTGGGCACTCGGTCTCTAAAAGATTTGCCATCACTGCAATAGGCAGATGGGGGGAGTTGTAGACCGTCCCTTACCTGACTGGGAAAGGCCATGCTCAGAATGGCTTGGATTGGGGTGAATAGCTACTTAATGATGATTCTTGGTTAAATACTGCAACTGTGAAGGCAAGAATTTCCCATTACAACTTCATGCAGTCACATCACATTTCACTTTACAACTGTACTAACTTATGACAGTCACTTACAATTATGGTTGTAAGTTGAAGGTAGTCTCTAATCAGGAGTTTGTGAAAGGCAGAACTATGTAGCTAATGGTCCCAGCGAGGCACAAATAAACAAAGAATTCCCAAACCAAAAGCAGGGAGAAGGTAAATTGCATTAATTATTAGAATTGGGAATAGGTTATTAAAATGTTTTGACTGTAACAAAAATGTTGCATCACACTTTGCTTTTCATTGAAGGTACATTATATACTCGGTTAAAGAAAGATTCTTTTAAAAAGATTTCTGTTCTGGAACAGAACTTACTGAAATATTCATAAAATATGAATATTTGGCTCATGTATTTTATGTACAGACTATTCTGTTTCACAAATACTTTGAGTATTGCTACAGGGAATAGAATTGTGCCTAATGGAAGAGGAAGGATTGTTCTTACACATTTTCATACTCTGATGCTCTCCAGATATGATGCTAATGGCATTTGGAAATTATAACGTGAACACTCTTCAGAATTTATTTACACAAAGATATTTCCTGATTGTTGTAAAAAGTCTCAGCTAAGTGCATTTGATGGCTTCTGGTTACGTTAAAAATTCACACAAAATTCACACAACTGCATTGTACACTGCAATAATCACTATAACAAAAGTAATTCCCTGAGCTGTTATTTTTATTTTTGAAACGTCAAAGCTCTCATCTCATCTCAAAGAACCTGCCCAGATGGGACAAAGGTTCTCATTTAGATGAGATAGTTCTGTTTATAAAACATAGTTAATTAAATAAATCACATAATAATGTTTAAACTTTTTGATCTTGTGGGGCTGCATTACTGTCTGTTCAGGACTGCATGCAGCCCATGGGCTGCAGGTTGGACATGCCTGATATAAACTGTTTGTTTAACATGCTTAACTGGACTGCTGAATAAACTCAGGTTTTGCTTGAGTTTTTCAACCAAGTCTTTAATTAACTAGCAAGTATTGGTATCAACACAACTGTGGCGATTCATTTTCAGATACAAGTAGTCCTCGACCTATGACTATTTGAAGTTATGATAGATCTCCCCAGGGCTACTTACAGCTCAGGTTCAAAGTTCTGACAGCCACCCCACCTGATCTCATTTTCATTGCTTGGCAGTTGACCCACATTTATGTCCATTTGCAATGTCCTGTGGTCATCTGATTGCAGTTTATGAAACTGGCATTTACTTCTGTTTTCAGGCAGAAAATGCCCATTGAAGACAATGGATTTGTTTAACAACCACAGTAAATGAGGCCATAAAATCAGGCATGGTCATGTGGAAACCTGCTTAAGAACCAGCATGACTTTCAACCAAATTCCGGGCTCAGTTTTGGTTGTAGGCCAAGAACTGCCTATATGTAAATGTATTATATTGGAAACACCAAGGCAGAAACAGCCATTGGTCACACATCAACATATCAAGTTTAACAACAACAACAACAATAATAATAATAAAAAGTTGGAAGGGACCTTGGAGGTCTTCTAGGCCAACCCCCTGCTCAGGCAGAAAACCCTATTCCATTTCAGACAAATGGCTGTCCAGTCTCTTCTTAAAAACTTCCAGTGTTGGAGCACTTACCGGTTCTGGAGGCAGGTTGTTCCACTGGTTAATTGTTCTGTCAGGAAATTTCTCCTTAGTTCTAGGTTGCTTCTCTCCTTGGTCAGTTTCCATACATTGCTTCTTGTCCTGCCTTCAGGCGCTTTGAAGAATAGCTTGACTCAAGGAGAGTCCTATTCAGCTAACCCAGGGCATTCAGTGTTTCTCCTAATTCTGTCTCCAACTTCTCTTACATTCACAGCCAGGGAAGCATCTGTGGTTATTTTTGTGTGTGTGTGTGTGTGTGTGTGTGTGTCAAGCTCCCATGACATTTTAAGCCATGGTGACTGGGCATGCTGAATGAGAATAATGGGCATTTTAGAGCAAATATTTAGTAGGGAATCAAATTGGAGAAAACTATATTTGGGCTTGTTTCAAACCATTGTAGTGATCCAAATTGATAAAATTAGATTATTTGCCATTTATGTGGTTTTGCCTGGTTAGTGCTGAAATATTATTTTGATATGTTTTAACCCTCTGATTGGCTTCCCTAAAGGAGTTCCAATTTAAGGTCCAAGTTTCATTATATGGCTAGAGGTGGAATGAGGATCACTGCACTCCTCCGCAGCAAGCACCAATGTTCAAAATAATTATTAACAGGAAAATAAGGAACACAATTATATTATATATTTATTATATTACGCACATATGCATACAAGCTGTTTAAGCTGCACAAGATGAGGAAGAAATAGGAATCTGTTGATGTGGATTTCTTACTTTGATGAGCACTACCAAAACGTACCAGCAGATGGCAGAGTTTTACATCCAATGAAAGCTACATACCAATGCTCTGGTTTATACTGAGCAATTTTCTTGTAAATACAGCTCACTTTCATGACTCCCAAACAGAATCCTTCTTCTGGTAATCATTATATGGAAAAAAATGTCACTTTTCCACACTTTTTTTTTCCATTTTTCAATCAGGCAAGGCTTTGCTCCAAGGATTAGGAATCTTTTTTTTTCTTGTCCTTTTTACAATTGTGCTAATCATATTAATATAGTAATATTAATTTTCTATAAGGATGCAATTAAACCTTGACTGAAAGAAGGGTCCTGAGACTGAAGCTAAAGAAATGGAATTGGGGGGGGGATCTTTTACCCAAGCCTAACCTTTGACAGGCTGTGGGGTCAAGACCCAGAGATAAGGCAAAATGTGCTCAGAGTTATTTGCACAAGGAATTCTTTTCCCATTCCCTGCTGCTACA